TAATTAAGAAATCCGTTACGAAATAGCGCAAACTTGACCACAGAAATTAAAAAACAAAAGAAAATGGAAATCGGGGGTGGAGGGCTTATAGCCTTACAATATCTAAGCAAAGTGTTAAGAAAGGGTTTTGCCCTGGAGAGCACGAGGGTGAGATATACAGTTATTTACACACAGACATACAAACAGCATAAAGCAGCTCTTCCTTTCTCTTAACGCCCGCTGACTGGGGTGAAGGGGTGGGGGGGGGAGGGGGAGAGGGGTAAGGGACATCCATGTGTCAGTCCCTTTTACATATCACGCGCTGTGAAAACATTGGCTTTCTCTCTGGTTTATTTTACACACACACACACATGTACCTTAAAGCTTATTATCTTTCTGTTTGAGAAGCTCAATCCGAAACGTCGCCTGAAATTCATTTTGCCCGAATAATAAAAATCAAAACTAAAACCGGAATTAAGAAAGAAATGGGTAGGTGGGTGGGGGGGGGGGGGGGGGGGTAGGTAAGGACTAGTTACATTTCAGTTGTTTTGCTGGAACCGTGACAAGCTGCGATCAAAATTATCCTCGGGGAGCGTTTTCAAGCGTTTATGTTTTACACACACCACGGGTAATAATCACCTTTGTGCTGTTTTTATTTCCAGCCTTGGTTTCCTGAGGGGAGGGAGGGGGGAGCGGGCAGGCGGGGGGAGTGCCAATAGGAACTGCTCGTCCCAGAGAGCGAGAGTGAGGTCTGTTCCTGTCCCACCAGAGCCTGGGCTGGGCTGGTGGGGGTGGGTTGGCCTGTGCTGGGCTTGTGGGGGGTCGGGTTGGCCTGCCCTAGGTTGGGTTGCACACACTGGGACAGGCGCACACACTCGATGCCTGGTGATCGGGTGTGTTTTTTTTGCTACATTTTCACACGAGCTACAGTAAGTGCTTCCTGACGACGCTGCATTTAATGCTGAGCTTCGTGCCCATTGAGTCTACCCCTTGTCCAGGGCTGCTGAGCGGCCCATTGGATCACCAGCGAGAGGAAGGCCTCAGCCCTGGTCCCGGCCGCCTATCACTGCTGGAGCCCCCTTTCCTTGTTACTGAGGCTGAACACGAAAATAGCTCTTATTTCTCTAACGGAGGCAAAGGGCAGGAGTGAGGGACTAAATAAACAGCCCTTTCATACAGACAGCACATGCATGATGGGCCGAATGGCCTCGCCCTGCGCTGTGGGTTTCGATGGTTGTGTGAGGGACACGGCCCCTATGGTTGTGTTTGCCTTGGCAGCCTTGTCCCCACACTCCCACACGGACACACAGCCCAGCGAGGCCTTGTCTTGACGTTAGTTGTACAGGGCCTCGGTGCAGGGTTCAGCTTGCAGTGTGGGGGACTGAGCCCCCCCACCCCACACACACACTTGAGGGGCTCCACACAGCTCAGAGCCACACAGAGCAGAATGATGGGGAGTAACGGGGTTCCCTGCTACACACAGGACCCCAACCTCTTGGGCCTCAGCTTGGCCTCAGGCCTGCGTCGTAGTATTCTAACTCATTTTTAACTCCGCCATTTTATTTATTTATTTATTTTGGGGGGAGTTTGTAACGTTAAAGCTAATGCCCGGAGATATAAATAAAACAATCGCGAGGAAAACGAACGAGTGGGCATGACGATGAGGATTAGAAAATCCTTATCCTTAAAAGATTTCTGTATATTTGGTCCTTTCACAAACAATTACTAGATACCCTCCCGGATAAAACCTGCTCTCCTCTTTGGGTCTATTTTGGTTTATTTTTTTTTGGTCACTTTCCCCAGGAGTCGAGGAGGTCAGGTCGTGCCTTAATTCAGAACCAATTTGCGTTTTAAACGCTGATCCTATGTTACCTTCACCACAGGCCGGTCGGTCTCTGTATAGAGGCCGCTATGATGGCCGAACAACAACTTAACACTTAATAGGGCGGCTTTTCACCCAAACCAAACATCTCTAGGTGATGTTTAACCTCTGTGGGTACAGCTCATGGTATGGGAGTGTGAGTGGAGGGGGGGGGGGGGCACGGGTTACCAGGTCACGTGCCAAGCCTAATAGTATTCACATTCCATGTTCACGAAATTCGGTAATTACACATTTCTTATTAAAAAAAGAAAAATGGCAAACTAGCCCCCACCTCCCCCCTCACCCCCAGCATTTGTATTCCCGCTTCTCTGGACTTGAAATAAAAGTGAAGCCGTGCACTGAGGTGGGGGGTTGGGGTGGGGGGGGGAGTAGAAGTGGGGGGCATTGCTGCAGTAGCTACATTAACAAACAATAAGTGCTGTTCAATATCCCAGGATAATAAAGACTGTGTTTCTGATGTGAAGGAAGCATGCACACATTCCCGGGGACTCGGAATTGGACTGAAAATCCTGCCTGATTATTCCCCTCCCCCCGCCCCAACCTCGCCCCATCTCCACCCCCCTCCCCTCCCATCCCCTCCCAACTCCCAAAGGTTCCGAGATTGTAAACCACACGAGGAAAGGGTCGAAATTCCGTGACGTTTCATCCCGTGGCTCCTCGTGAAATCAACGTGAGAAAGAACGCGTTCAGAAACATCGCTGTTTTCACCCCTTTTCGGCCCCCCCCTCCCCCCTTGGAACTCAACCCCCCCCCACCCCCCACCGGAATCTCTGACCTTTGACTGGACCCACACTGGGCCAGCGTTTAGGAGCGTAAAAACTGTGAAACTTTCTGGAATCCGGGCCGAATTGGGAGCCGGTTGGTTTTCCGCAGCTCTTAGGAAGGTGTCAGGACTTTTCAAGTCATATTTTCCACGAAAATAATAATTGTGCAGGAACGTGAAAGCCAAATCGACCAACAGACTGGACTGACTGTGCTATAGCTCCTGAAATTGATGAAGAGAGAGAGCGAGAGAGGGAAAACGAGGGAGAGAGAGATTGTCGCTAACAGCTGCCTGTTCTGGGTAATTAGCCTCCGCTACTGGAGATATTTTATCACCTTGTGATTCTCCAGCTCGTCACTGCTCACATCCCTCAAACTGCACACACTCCACAGTCAAGTGGCTGCTCAGTCCTCAGCTATGTCCTGGACATTAATCCTCCTTCCCAATATGCCAGAGCTGTGAGCGGCAGCGCTCCCTGTTCGGCAAGTTTTCTGGGTTTCCTGCGGAATGTCGGAGACTGATGGAGCGAGTGAAACAGTCCAGTTAGTGTCTGTCCACTTTCCTGTCCACTGTGGCCAATCCAGCCTTGAGGTGCCGTGTCACAGGAGGCAAGTCCTCTGGAGGCTTGTTCTCTGCTGATCTAACCAAGAACATAGGAACAGGAGTAGGCCATTCAGCCCCTCGAGCCTGTTCCACCATTCTGTAAGATCATGGCTGATCTGTTCCTCAACTCCAATTACCCGCCCTTGCCTGATTTCCCTTGATACCCTGACCTAACATCTATCCAGCTCAGTCTTGAAAATTTGAATGGATCCAGCCATAATCCACAGCCTTTTGCGGGAGGGAGAGAGTTCCAGATTCCCACTGAGCCTTTGGGTGAAAAACTGACCCTGATTTCATTGCTTCTCTTTTTAGAGGCAGTTTTTCACAGGTTTCCCTTTTTTATGAGTAATGTACGATTAATGTTGGGAGGGTGGGGGTGGGCAGAAGGCGAACAAAGGGGAATCTTAAAAGAGAGGATTGAATTAAGCCTTGGAAGATCCAGGTTTTCCAGCATTATTCCTGGAGGAAATTCCTGGATTCCTGATATTCCTTGGGAAACCGACCTATCGGGGGAATCGTTTAAAACACAAATGATGGGAAGGGATAAAAACAAAGTCAATCAAAATCAGGAGATTTCCGCCGGCAGGTCAGATAATTTAGTAACTTGGGCCAGGGCTGGGGATGCGATGCGATGTGTAATAGATCAGGACTGATAATTAATTACAATCCATTACATTATTCATGAATCGCCGCACAATGATATAAATGACCTTTTTTCTCTCTCTGAAGCTATAATCGTGTCTCCATGGAAACGCTAATGGCTCCTTAATACTTCAGAAATGTTATATTATATATATGTATATGTATATGTCCCCCTTTCGTTCCAGAATGTCATAGATGCCATTAACCCTCTGCTTTATCCTTAGGAGGAAAATGATCCGAAGAAATCGAGCGTTCACCCGGGGAAGAGTGAGTGAGACTAGATCAGGGGTACAATTATAGGGCGGTGAGAGGGTGTGTGATAGAATGGGGAGGGGGGCTGGGGGTGAGGGGGCCACAGCACTATATCGAATGCCAAGGTCATTATAATTTATTCTGTGATTAACCGTAAATGTAGGACATCACTTCAATATCTGATAGAGTCTAATAGGTTCTTATAGCCTCTTAATTTCAAGCCAATGGAATTCATAAAGAGCCCCCCACTGGAGCAGCGGTGGTGGGGGGGGGGGGGTGGGGGAGGTCAGAGGAGGGGGAGGTACAGAACACTCTGGCGCTCTCTCTCTCTTTTTCTCTGTCTCTCTCTATCTCTGTCTCTCTCTATCTCTGTCTCTCTCTCCTGGCACAGACACGTGCTGGTAAATTTATATCAACAGCTTGTTTATGAGCACATAAGACCTTTGCTTTATCTTTAGCCATGTGTCAACCGTTACTCTCAAACCCCCACCCTTTCCATGCCCCCTCCTCTCCCCCACCACCCCCCAACCAACCAGCTCCTTACAGGTTACCACTAGAGAAAGGCTTAAAACTGACCGAGTGCGGGCGGAGTAAGTGTGGGCAGGCGGGCACTCAAGACACACTGCCCGATCAGTCCGTGTACTGCACAGGCAGCAAGTGTTAGAGTGAGCGAGAGGAACTGTCAACGTATAACTGTGAGCAAGTGCTGGTCGTGTTGGCATCACATGCCGGTGGCTGCCCCTCTCACTCACAGGACAGTGCCACCTGGGGAGGGAGGAAAGGGAGGGAAGGGGGGAAATGTGGAAGAGAATAACAAAAGAGGAACCAGCTTCGTGGGGGGTTGGGGTTGGGGGTGGGGCGAGACGTCCGCACTGCTCTACCCCCCCCCCCAGGGAATGTTCTCCATCATCGGTCAAGCGTTGTCGCCGGGAGTCTGTGTGCGGTCGCTGCAGCTCACACACCACACAGTGGAGTATAGGTTCCAGACGAGGACGGTGATGTGGGTTGGTGGGGTGTGGACAGGGCGGGCTGGGGGGCTGGAAGTACTCTTGTCGGCTGGAGGTTGAGGTGTGACGCCAGGTCCTGGCTTCCCCGGTGATGATTTTCTTGTTAAAAGTTGAAGTGCGAGAGTCTGCGAGTTATTCCAAGTCTTCGGCCCTGAGCTCCTCCTCCAGCTCTCTGCCGTCCGGCATCTCAGGGTTCACACTGGCCACCGGGGGGGCAGTGAGGGACACCAGCCTCTCCTCCTCCTCCATCTCCGCAGGCTCCTCCTTGATATGTAGCTGATGCCTGGGATGGGGCATTGCACAAACACGACTGTCATTCAATGTTCCATTCTTTGCTCCTCTGAACTTAATGCTTTTTCAAAACTCCCTGTCAATCTCCATCCCACCTCCCACCCAACCCCCCCACCATCCTCCTGAGTCGAGACTGTTCCGAAACTCTCCTCTATCTCATTGCGTCCACAAACCTCGAGATTGTGCAACTCCTTCCCCTCTTGCCCTCCTCCTCCAGGTCTGACCGCCCACTGTTTGCTGTGTATGTGTTGGGTCCCAGTGACCGCACTACGTACCCGTGCTGGGGTGGGGACAGGCCTGGGCTGCTGCTCCCGTTGCTGTTGACCTGCTCCACGGTGCTGCTCACGTCGTCGTGTCCCACGTTCATCAGGCCACTGGTGGACGTGTTGCTGATCAGGCCCGGGCTGCCCAGCAAGGGCAGGCTGCTCTCAGCTAGGGCCGCCTGGAGCGAGAGAGAGCGTGAGAGAGAGTGAGAGAGTGAATGAGTGAGAGAGGGAGTGAGTGAGAGTGAGAGAGAGTGAGTGAAAGAGAATGTGAGTGAGTGAGTGAGTGAGAGTGTGAGTGAGAACAGGAAAGTAAGTGAGTGAGTGAGTGAGTGAGTGAGTGAGTGAGTGAGAGAGCACGAGGGAGAGAGAGAGTGTGAGTGAGAAATATTCACATATAAGTATAAAGATTATTCACTATTGAGAATATCATTTCTTTTTCAATTCGTCCTATATATTTCATTGCTTGTCACTGACTTTGAGACACGCATCAGATGGGGATCAGAACCAATCAAAGAAAAGTGTCTTTTGAGGAGGGGAGAAATGGGGAGGAGGCGTCTAAACCCATGCTCCTTGTCCAGGAATCCCAGGTTCAGCCGACACGTTCCCAAGTCTGTGTCCTGGGAATCCCATTGCGTCACTGGGCTGCCCCCTGCTGGCTGAACACACCAGCTCTTGCCCACCTGCTTGCCGGGTCTTGGGGAGGGGGGAGATTGGCACAGTGTGTGTGTGAGGGGCTCAGTATGTGTGTGTGAGGAGTTCAGTGTGTGCGTGTGAGTGAGGGGTTCAGTATGTATGTGTTGTGTGGTGTGTGTGTGAGGGATTCAGCGTGTGTGTGTGGTGTGTGTGCGCGCATGTGTGAGGGGTTCAGTGTGTGTGGAATTATAATAATCCTTGCATTTGATACAGCGCCTTATCACGTCTTTGTCACAAAGTGCTTCACAGGATACACTGTAAAGTGAATTGACTGTATATTTGTGGGCGAAACGTGGCAGCCAATTGCGCACAGCAATGTCCCCACAAACAGCGGTGGATTGAAGTGACCAATCTATTATTATTATTATTCTTTGGGAGGAATTATTACCGCTGGAAAAGTGAAGCACCAATTCACTAACAACTGGGTTCCTACTTACTGCTGGTAAACGGAGGCGCGTGTCCGTGTGTGTGTGGAATAAGGAAACTTGCCCAATGTTTCGCCCTGACCCGCCTGGGAATTGAACCCAGGTCCTCTCGCTGGCGATGTGAGTGCTCTAACCACTGAGCTACAAGACTCCAGTTGAGGGTGGGGTTTCCATGACATGAAAGGCAGTACATTAATGCAATTTGTTGTTGTTTCATCTATCGCAATTGGCTGCCGCGTTCGCCCACAAATATACAGTCAATTCACTTTACAGTGTGTTCTGTGAAACACTTTGGGACGTCCTCCCGACGTGAAAAGTGCTATATCAAATGCAAGGATTATTATTATTATTATTATTATTATTATTATTATTGTCACCTCCTCCCCAACACATGGTCTAATTGCTGCCGGGCTGAGTGTAGTGTGAATGAGAGGTAGAGATACCGTGGCCAGCCGCCAGGTGTCTCTGTCCCCTACACTTTCTCCTTTCTTTATAAACCCTCTACAAGGGGCTGCACTCCTCTTGGGAGGGGGTTGGGGGGGGGGAAAGAGGGAAGAGGTGGGGGCCGTGACATGGTCGTTATAACGGCAGCCAAACCGCCATCGAAGCTGTAAAGCCGGTCGGGCGCCTGATGCTGTCAGACAACAACAACAACAGATTGTATTTATCTTGGGTCTTTCATGTTGGGAGGAACGTGGCCGGGACAGAACACGGCCTCTCTGGAAATAATTATTATTTATCAATCAATTATCAATGGTGATCAATAATCAATGGGCCGAGTCCAGCTGGATTCCCGTCAGTAACCACACAACCAGCAGCTCAGCGGGAATCCAAGATGGTGGCCTGGCCAATTGTCAGAAGGCTGGGGGTGGGGTGGGGGGAGATGTTTTAATTTGAATGCCTTGTCTTAAATAAGGAATGGAATGTGTTGAGCAATGGCGCAGGTTTCACCCCCTCCCCCCGAAAAAGTATCTTCGCAGGAAACGAACGTTAGGGAGACGGAGACTGACCTGATAGGTTGCGTTAAGTGCTGCCCCGTAGCCGAGGCCTGTGATCACGTTCTTCACCAAGGTGGGGCTCCTGGAGGAACAAACAGTCAGTCAATGGGTAAAGGCTCGGGGGGCTGTGCACTGACTCAGTGGAGGGGGGAGGATGTCTACCGGCTCGGAGTGGTGGTGGGGGGAAGACTGTCTGTGGTGCTGAGCCAAACACACCCAAGACGTCCAGCCGAGGCTGCAGTGTGGGGGGAGCCGGGGCGGGGTGTGTGGGTGAGTGCGAGGCTGGTGTCTGAGCTCCGTGTCCTTACCCAGTCATCTTGGGCGGCCTCCTCTTCTGGTATTCCAGCTCGTCCACTGTCCACACGGCTCCCTTCACGTTCTCCACTCGCACAAAGCACTTGTGGAGGCTCAGGTTGTGGCGAACTGCATTCTGGGTCACAGAGAGACACGCTCAGCCTGGCACGCCTCGCACGCACGGCCTGGCACGCCTCGCACGCACGGCCTGGCACGCCTGGCACGCACGGCCTGGCACGCCTCTCACGCACGGCCTGGCACGCCTCGCACGCACGGCCTGGCACGCCTCGCACGCACGGCCTGGCACGCCTCGCACGCACGGCCTGGCACGCCTCGCACGCACGGCCTGGCACGCCTCGCACGCACGGCCTGGCACGCCTCGCACGCACGGCCTGGCACGCCTCGCACGCACGGCCTGGCACGCCTCGCACGCACGGCCTGGCACGCCTCGCACGCACGGCCTGGCACGCACGGCCTGGCACGCCTCGCACCCACGGCCTGGCACGCACGGCCTGGCACGCCTCGCACGCACGGCCTGGCACGCCTCCCACGCACGGCCTGGCACGCCTCCCACGCACGGCCTGGCACGCCTCCCACGCACGGCCTGGCACGCCTCACGCGCCGCGCACACACATGGATGGCCTCACACACACACACAAGGGTCCCTCAGGGATGGGGGCAATGGGGGAGGGGAGGTTTTAACGTGTTGGGAACCACATTCAATTGATCAGTTTAACCCTCACTCAAACACTTGCATTTATACTAATATACAGATACATCTCAATGACATTTCACAGCCATAGATAGAAACACGTCCCCCTCCCCCGCCAGTGAGGTGTATAATTATGAATAAGGTAAACGGGGCCTTCCCATTAACGTGACTGTTCTCAGCTTTGCAAATGAGAATGACCCCAATTTCAGATAAAGGCCTGTATTTATATTTGCATTCCAATCCCTGATGGAAGATTTATTCATTCTGTTAAAAACATTAACAGCAGTTTGACAGGTCAGGCGGCAAAAGCAACATTACCAGTGGCAACGCAGCCAGGATATCAGGGCTTCAGACACCAACTAACGAACCAACTAGCTAACTAAACTAACTAACTAACTAACTAACAACTAACTAACAAACCAATCAGCCAACTGACAAACTAACTAGAATTGGTTTGGTCCCTTTTATCTCTCTCACACATATTCTCCCTCTCACGCAGTCTCTCTCACACCCCCTTTTTCCGTGTCATTGAATCCCGGAATTCCCAGCCCAGAGATTGAGGTCTCTGCTCCTCCCGAGGCAACAGGAGATTTTGCCCCCGGTCCAGCTTTTTCGGATTTCTGGAACCAAGAACCGTTGAGAGACCTGAGTTCAATTCCAGGCGAAACCTCGGGCAAGTTTCCTTACTCCACACAGACCCTAATAATAATCCCTCCAAAAAAAAAAACAATAATAAATTGGTCATTTTCAATCCAGGACTGTTTGTGGGACATTGCTGTGCGCAATTGGCTGCCGCGTTCACCCACAAATATACAGTCAATTCACTTTACAGAGTGTTCTGTGAAGCTCTTTGGGACGTCCTCCCGACGTGAAAAGCGCTATATCAAATGCAAGGATTATTATTATTCTTATTATGGGATAAACTGGGATGCGCTGGGGTGACATGGGGGGCAAAAGGTATCCTAGCGCTTTCTCCCCACTGGATTTATTCTCCTGAGGATCCCCCACTTGCCTGTCTAGATGCACATTACAAATTAGTGAGATTTCAGTGGAATTAGGTCAGCCAAGCTGAAGCATGCAGTGTAGGTGCGAAGGTTTAATGAACTTCCCCTCGACAGGCTAGTTAGTGAGTCTAGAGATCAAACACAGAGAGAGAGAGAGGGGGGGGAGAGAGAAATAGAGAGAATGAGAGAGGGAGAGAAAGAGGTAGAAACCCACGAGGGAATCCCTCTCCCAAAAGGAGTGGGATTCCTGCACGTATTACGGATTTCTTAATTAGGAAACGCCATTAAGAAATACCGTAAAATTGCCTTTTTTTCTGTCCGGCCCCGGGAGCTCCTTACACCAGCCCCGTGTGACCCACTGTCCTGTTTACGGAACAAAAACAATCCAGTGAAAGAGGTGGTTTGTACCTTCCACGTGGCCGTGTTCCTGCGGAAATAGGCGAACATTCTGGTGAACCAGTTGTAGATTTCGTTCAGTGTTAACTGCCTGTCTGAGGTCTCCAGGATTGCCTGTGGGGAGGAGAGAGAGGGCGAGGGAGAGAGGGCGAGAGCGAGGGAGAGAGGGCGAGGGAGAGAGTGTGAGAGAAGGCGAGAGAGAAACAGCTGATAATGCGACACTTTCCCCCCCACCCACCCCAGGGCTGCACTGGAATGTCAGGCCAGACTGTTAGCCCCAACGTGGGGCTTATTCCCACAACCTTCTGACGCCGAGGCAAGAGCGACTGAACACGTCAGGCTGAGACAATACGTTCTGAACAGCCCTGAGGGGGTCTCTCACATGGTGGGGGCGGAGGTTTCTCACAAGGTTGGTGGAGGACTCACTCACATGGTGTTGGGGGGGCGGCGGGGGGGGACCTGGGGGTCGCTCACCTGCCGGATCAGCGACGCGTACGTGAATGGCGGCCGGACGTCAGCGTTCTTGTAAAACTCGTGGTTCTGGGCCAGCTCTGGGGAGAGAAATGATCAACAATAAGAGGGAGCGGGACCAAGCCGGGGGAGAGGTGGGCACCGAACCGGGGGAGAGGTGGGCACCGAACCGGGGGAGAGGTGGGCACCGAGCCGGGGGAGGGGTGGGCACCGAGCCGGGGGAGGGGTGGGCACCGAGCCGGGGGGGGGGTGGGCACCGAGCCGGGGGAGGGGTGGGCACCGAGCCGGGGGAGGGGTGGGCACCGAGCCGGGGGAGGGGACTGAGCCTCACTGAGCGCGGTGCTGGGTGCCAGTACCTGAGGAGATGGGCAGGCAGTACTGATTGGGGGTGGGGGGAGGGGCGTGGTAGGTACCTGAGGAGATGGGCGTGGCCAGGCTGGGGGAGGGGCAGGGCAGGGGGCAGGTACCTGAGGCGATGGAGAGGCGGTACTTAACTTTGCTGGATGGGGCCTGTCTGGGGAAGGGCGGAGCTGGGAACCACTACCTGAGGAGATGGGGAGGCAGTAATGGGCGTGGGGTTGGACTGGGCCTGGCGGGGCTAGGGCGGAGCAGGGCGGGGCCAGGCTGGGCAGGGCCGGGCAGGGCGGGGCCGGGCTGGGCAGGGGGCGGGTGGGTACCTGAGGAGATGGGGAGGCAGTACTTGTCCGCATGCCGCCGTCGGATGCTCCCGATGCTGTGTAAGGAGGCGGAGCTAATGACGGATGGCCCCTGGCGGATGGGCGTGGCCGGGGAACTGGCCGAGGTGGGCGTGTGCGGTAACAGGTCCCCAAATGGCTCGGCTTTGGACAGGGTGACACTCGATACCAGGTTCAGCTGCCATCACACGGGGAGAGGGGGAGGGGGGGGGAGAGAAGTCGGGGAGAGAGAGAAGGGTGGGGGGGAGAGAGAGGGGGATGGGGAAGAGCGAAGGATGGGAGAGAAGGGGTGGGGAGAGGGAAGGGGAGCGGGGAGGAAGAGAAAGCAAGAGTTAAAATAATAATAATAATCCTTGCGTTTGATATAGCGCCTTATCACGTCTTTTGTGTACTTTGTGGGTGAAACGCGACAGCCAACTGCGCACAGCGACGTCCCCACAAACAGCCGTGGACTGAGTGACCACGTTTTGTTGAAGGGATCATTCCCCCCGGGAAGCGATCCGCCAATCGACTACCAACCGGGTTCCTAATTACTGCTGGGTAAACAGAGGCAGGAGCAGGGGGCTCGGGCGGGGGAGTGGAGGTGGGGGCTCGGGCGGGTGGGGTTCTACTCACGGGTTGAGCGAAGGGCTTGGGGTCTGATGGCCGCATGTGCAGGTGAGCCATCATGGCTTGCAATCGCTCGCTCTCTTTCGACAACTGCAGAGAGATAGAAACTTCCGGTCACTCAATACATCAAAGACTTGGCGGAGCTGTGCCCCTGATTCTCACCTGTGCCCTGCCCCCACCTCTCACCTGTGCCCCGCCCCCACCTCTCACCTGTGCCCCGCCCCCACCTCTCACCTGTGCCCCGTCCGCAACTCTCACCTGTGCCCCGTCCGCAACTCTCACCTGTGCTGTATCCAGATGTTTTGGGGAAGAGAAACACTCACCTGAATCTCCAGCTGTTGAACCACTTGCATCTGTACCCGGCACTGAGCTGTGCTGCGATCATCCAGAGCGTGTTCATTACTCAGGTGTCTGAGGAGCAACAACAGCAAAACACGTCACTCACCAGGAGAAGCCGTCGGCCACACACGCGTATTACACAGTGAGCGTGGGGGGGCTGGGGGAGTGGGGGGTGAGTAATATGTGTGTGGGGAATGTGAGTGTTTGTGAGTGTGTGTGTGTGGGGGCGGAATGCGTGTGTGAGGATGTGGTGTGTGTGTGTGTGAGGGTGTGGTGTGTGTTTGTGTGAGTGTGTGTATGTGGGGGGGAATGTGTGTGTGAGGGTGTGGTGTGTGTTGGTGTGAGTGTGTGTGTGGGTGGGGGAATGTGTGTGTGAGGATGTGGTGTGTGTGTGAGGGTGTGGTGTGTGTTGGTGTGAGTGTGTGTGTGTGGGGGGGAATGTGTGTGTGAGGGTGTGGTGTGTGTGGGGGGGAATGTGTGTGTGAGGATGTGGTGTGTGTGTGAGGGTGTGGTGTGTGTTGGTGTGAGTGTGTGTGTGTGTGGGGGGGAATGTGTGTGTGAGGATGTGCTGTGTGTGTGTGAGTGTGTGTGCGGGCACGCTGCCTGGCACTCTCACACTGAGCCTCGCTCACACACTGGGACGAGGTTCAGCTTGAAGGGCTTTCCTACAGTAGCTGCTGTTTGTCGAGTGTCTAATCATTTTAGTCAGAAGAAAAGATTAATGTGTGTTTACATGGTTTGTTTCCCCGGGATCAGCCTCCCTTTATCACTGCTGGTTAGTTTACAATCCCCTCAAGTGCTGCAGACTTGGCACGCACACAAACACTCGCTCCTCTCATGTCTCTTCCCGATCCCTGCCAACAAGAGGGGAGCTAATTGCCAATGAGCTCATTAAAGTGAACTATTGACGGAGCGTGAAAACAATTTGTCCGCTGGGTCTCGGCCACACGGCAGGCGGACCGGGAGCGTGGCAGTGCCGGGGGCCGGGGAGACTGTCTCTCCGGGGCACGGGGTAAATCCCGGGCATCTGTCACAGCGCCAGGAACACTGTGACGTCTCAAAGGTGGAGTGCGTGGAGCTGGTGTTTGAAGGCCGGTAAAGGACAGAAATCAGTGACTGAGGGACGTCAGCAAGACTACAAACAGTAACAATCCTTGGTGGCCGGACTTTCAGCTGCTAAGCCCCAAAACTCTGGAACACTCTCCCTCTATCCCTCCCTCCGCCTTGTCCCCCTTCCTTCCCCATCTCCAGGTCGCGCCTGAAGATCTTCCTCTTCGACCGTGGCTACAGTCACCTCCCCCCTCCCCGGTGTCGTGCTCCGCCACTGTCGATGCAAATTGTTGTCGTTGTTATGTGATATAGCTCCTGTGACCTCGCAAGGTCTCCAAGTGCTTCAGTACGGAATCGTGTCAAGTGTAGTGACTGCATTCATAGGGATTAATCCGTGGGGATTGTCGGCCAGGACGTTGGGAGAGAGACATTCCCGACTAGTAACGGAGCGGGGAAAATTCTCTCTTGGCCTTTTTTGCTTCGTTTATAATAATAATAATAATCACTTTGGTTTGTGGATTTCATTCAAAATTAGCATTTAGCCAGATCAGATAGAGCCCGGCCCGGCCGGGGTACAGACCCTGCAGTGTGGCCCGGGCTGGGTACAGACCCTGCAGTGTGGCCCGGGCTGGGTACAGACCCTGCAGTGTGGCCCGGCCGGGGTACAGACCCTGCAGTGTGGCCCGGCCGGGGTACAGACCCTGCAGTGTGGCCCGGCCTGGGTACAGACCCTGCAGTGTGGCCCGGCCTGGGTACAGACCCTGCAGTGTGGCCCGGCCTGGGTACAGACCCTGCAGTGTGGCCCGGGCTGGCCGGGGTACAGACCCTGCAGTGTGGCCCGGGCTGGCCGGGGTACAGACCCTGCAGTGTGGCCCGGGCTGGCCGGGGTACAGACCCTGCAGTGTGGCCCGGCCTGGGTACAGACCCTGCAGTGTGGCCCGGGCTGGCCGGGGTACAGACCCTGCAGTGTGGCCCGGGCTGGCCGGGGTACAGACCCTGCAGTGTGGCTGCTGCACTGACATTTACATGCTGTGTTACAACCTGACTGACATCAGCACTCGGCTGTGTCAGGCTGTTGGTGATGGGGACGGCTGGACTCGCTGTGTAAATAGCCTGAGGCTCGGGCTGATTCCAGCCTCCTCACTGCACGTGTGCGTTATTTACATCTGTAACTAGCGGAGGCCTGGGCCACCAGCCCCCTCCCCAACACCAGCCCCCCTCCCCAACACCAGCCCCCCCCCCACCCCCCCTCCCCAACACCAGCCCCCTCCCCAACACCAGCCCCCTCCCCAACACCAGCCCCCTCCCCAACACCAGCCCCCTCCCCAACACCAGCCCCCCTCCCCAACACCAGCCCCCTCCCCAACACCAGCCCCCCTCCCAACACCAGCCCCCTCCCCAACACCAGCCCCCCTCCCCAACACCAGCCCCCCTCCCCAACACCAGCCCCCCTCCCCAACACCAGCCCCCCTCCCAACCCAAGCAACTGAACAAAATACAACACACTGCGCATACACAGCAACCCTCACAGCCAGGGCTAAGGCACCAAACCCTCTCCCACTCACTCCACATTCCCAATAGATCTAATCCCTTCCCATTCAACAACAACATATAGCGCACAGAGACTCAACAGGAATTACTGTGGAAATCTAATCCCTCTGTGTGGAACGGCCAGACAAGTCAGGGTTAATCGGCTTTGATTGTATCTGTGGACCGATGATAGCAGTAGGGCAAGCGGAGTAACCAATTATTAGCCACCCCCCCAACCCCAATACGTGCGTCCCAATTATCACTGCCCCCCCCACCCCCCCCCCTGTGAGTGTGTAACTCACGGCAGTAATGAGGTCAGTACCTGGGAGCTTTACGCAGGTCTCTGTACTGTTAACAGACCGTCCGTGTTTGCACGTTTCGGTTAATTGGCCCAAATAAACTCCGGCTGTTAAACATCGGCAGTAAGTGCGCCTCACACGTCCGGGGGACACTGCGCTGCTCACTTTGCCGAGCAGTTTGGTGTTGGGGAGTCAGACACTAGGAACACACTGGGAAGTAACCGGCTCCAAACCGGATCGGATCAAAAACATGGCCTTTAACAATGGCTGAAATCATATTAATTCGTCAACAAAACTACCCAACGTACGATTTTCTCTCTGATTCTTTACATTAGTAACAATAATCCCTGCATTTGACACAGCGCCTTCTCACGTTGTCAAGAAGTCTCAAAGCGCTTCATAGGATACGCTGTAAAATGGAGTGACTGTGTTTTGTGGGCGAAAATACATGTTCAATCCACTTTGTCTGCACACAAAACTCACTGACACATGTAAACGTGACACAGTTCATGACATACACAAACCCTCAAATAACATTAGCCCCCACCACCCCCCAGCCCCAACCTCGCACCCCCCTCCCCAATGCCCCCCTCCCCTCCACACCCTCCCCCACCTTCTGCTGTCCGGTCACGTACGTACTTGAGAAACTGCCCGATGTCGTCACACAGCTCCTCACAGCCTGGCCACTTGCACTCCCCGTGCCCATACAGCTGGTGTGTTCCCGTGGCCTCCTCGTGTGATACACTGCGAGAGACACAGAAACTGCTCAGCAACAACAACAACATGACATTTATATACCACGGTGAACACAGGAGATGGCAAGCACCCAGGTAGGGAGTGCCAGGCAATGGGGGCGAGGGGGTTGCCAGGCAATGGGTGTGGGGTGCGGGGCCAGACAATGGAGCGAGGGGCAGTGCCAAGCAATGCGGGCGAGGGATGGCAGGCAATGGGGTGAGGGGTGCCAGGCGATGGTGGAGCAGACCCTGGTGACGTCTCCCTGTTACAGCCACGTACCTCTCTCTCTTGGGGGTGTGCATGGCGCTCCCCCCGTTGAGCAGCGAGTGGTGGGAGATGGAGGGGGAGATCTTGCAGGTGAGGAAGGTGGAAGCGGGGGAGGTGCTGGACAAGTCGAGTCCGTCAGACTTGAGGCTGTCCTCGAGGTTCTGGGCGCTGGTCACCTCCTTCCACAGCTGCTGCAGGTCAGTGGGACACATGGCTGGGAAACCAAACAAAACCTCAGTGACACCCAGTCCCAGCTCTTGCCGGCACCCACATCATCATAGTCATCATCTGTGTGTGTGTGTGTGGGTGGGTGTCTGTATACACGTATCTGTGTGGGTGTGTGTACCTTGTGGCAGGGAGGGCAGGGACAGTGGGCAGTGTGTGTATGTGGGTGTGTGTGAGGGTGTGTGTACCTTGTGGCAGGGAGGGCAGGGACAGTGGGCAGTGTGTGTATGTGGGTGTGTGTGAGGGTGTGTGTACCTTGTGGCAGGGAGGGCAGGGACAGTGGGCAGTGTGTGTATGTGGGTGTGTGTGAGGGTGTGTGTACCTTGTGGCAGGGAGGGCAGGGACAGTGGGGAGTGTCCAGGCTGCAGCGTGACGAGGCCCTGACGCTGAAGGCTCAGTAGCTGCTGTTGTTGGAGCTGCTGCATCTGCAGGAACTGTTGCTGGAGGGCGAGCTGCTTGTTCCCCAGCTGTGAGTACATGCACACACACACACATGCACACGTACACACGCGCGCGCGCCCACACGTACACACACATGTGTACACACACATACATGCACGCGCGCACACACACACGCGCGCGTACCCCCAAAACACAGATACACAGACACATGCACACACATACAGAGGCACAAACGCACAGAGAGAGAGAGAGAAAACGAGAGAAGGAAGTTAATAACTTGCCTCTGATGTGATCCACTGCCTAGAATATCAATCATCAATCATCTCAAAGTTTCTCAGTCAATCTGTGTTCAGTGTAGTGACTGTGCATTTTTCTGACACACCCAGAAACCCATCGCGGTGCTTAAGTTACCAAACCAGACAGAGTTCCGTGTTTGCCACCTACCTGTGTCTGGAATGGGACGCACTCTGCTTACTTTATCCCAGAGAGTATTGGGGAGGGGGGGGGTAGAGGGAGGAGGAGGCGTTGGGAACTGAAGGTTGTTCATGGACTAAATTGGGGAAAGAGTGTGAAGACTGAATCTCGCGGATGTGTCCTGCCCCGCCTGGAATATACAGTCATTACATTTTACAGTATATCCTGTGAAGCGCTTTGAGACATCTCGAAGACGTGATGAGGCTCTATATCAAATGCAAGGATTATATTATTATTATTAATCCAGCCCATGGGGGAGAGGGGATGAAGGGATTGTAGAGAGACTGGAGGGAGGGAGGGAGGGAGGGGAGGGAGAGATGGCTGAGGGGGGGGGGTTGTGGAGCTGCTGTAAAGGCCCCTTTGATGTGTGGGATGAAATATGGGCTGCATCACCCGTGTAGATGAGATCTTTAGAAGCAACAGAAGTGAGGAAATGATTCCTGATCGCAGTCACGGGCCTCACAAACCAAGTCAGACACGGAGGCCCCTGGAGATAGGAGCCGGGGTCAAGGCCATTTCCTGCGAGGGTGTGTAATACATTTAAAGATGCTGGGTGTCCGAGACTTTTCACTGATGCCTCTGACTTCTGAACACATTTTGTCTGTGTTCTGTTTACATTAGATGCAGTTCAGTGGCTAATGCTGGTCTGGTAACTGGCTTGTCAATTTGATTTATGAGCACATCAAGCTGGCTTGCAGTGTGCCATGTGAGACTGACAGTGCCAGTTCATTAATCTGGGTCTAGGGTGACTTGGGAGTCCACACGTTACAACCCACTGTTTAAACATCAACTCTTAACCTTCTGTTCGCTGTGCCCTCTCTCCCCCTCTCTCGGTCGGCCGCTGCTTATTCCTTAATAATCAATAAATAATCCTTGCATTTTAATACAGTGCCTCATCACATCGTTGAGGCGTCTCAAAGCGCTTTACAGAATATGCAGTAAAGTGGAGTGACTGTGTGTCTTGTGGGTGAAATTGCAGCCAATTGTTCACAGCGACGTCCCACAAACAGTCGTGGATTGAGTGACCAAATTACTAATCTTAGTTTTTACATTTTTGGGGAGGGATTATTACCCCTGGAAAAGCGATCTGCCAGCCGACTGACAACCAGATTCCTACTTACTGCCAGGTAAACCACACCATATCCCCTGCTTCCCCTCTCCTCTCCGCCCCACCGCAGCGCTCCTCACAGAGTTCTTACACCGCTGGGAGCAGATCGCTTTCCGAGGTCCATCTTGTTCGTCTTCCACCATCCTAGCAGTCGCTTGATGTGTCGTGTCCCAAACTATATACTGTCTTCCCCCAGATATTATTTTCTAGCAGTTTGCAATGTTTGATGATCGCTCACTGAAGTAGTGTTTCCACAGATTAGTTCTGAATTTATCCCCTTCAACTGCAGGCCGTGTCCCCTCTGGTTCTACTGTTCAGTAGAAGATAGAAACAGCTTATTGTGGTCTACATTATCTAGTCCCTTCAGGATCTTAAAGACCAGGTAACACTGCTCGCTAACCTGAGAGTGCGCGGACGGCAGCTTCTAAACCTGCGGAAACACCAATTCAGTGAACGAGCAGTAAACTTATGGAACAGGCTCCTGAGGGAGGCAGATGGTGGAAGCAGAAAGTATTGTTTGTTTCAAGAACAAATTAGATAGATTTCTGCTAGAAAATAATATCTGGGGGACCCAGTACATAGTTTGGGACACAACAACCATGACGACCATTACTATTGGGACCAGATATCTGTGTTGAGGTACAGATCAGCCATGATCTTATAGAATGGCAGAACAGGCTCGAGGGGCTGAATGGCCTGTTCCTATGTAATGTACCTCCTTAGCCTGTTTCCCAGCCTGTTGTTGTTGTTGTTGCTGCTGCTGTTGTTGTTGATGCTGTTGATGCTGTTGTTGTTGTTGTTGAGACAACAGCTGGAGATGGACCTGTTCTTGCTGTTTCTTGTAGTACTCTTGCAGCTATTGGAAGCAGAGTGAGGGGTGGGGGGGGGTTAGAGACAAAAAACACACACACAACACAAAGATCTCAAGTCAGAAAAAAAAGATGAAGCAATCAGAAAATTAATAGGAGAACAATGGCCAATCTTGGCAGCCACACGACACTGCAAATTTCCCTGGGATTCTGTATTCGACAACAGCAATTAAATCCTCTGAGGAAAGTTAATTATCTGTCAGCGTAATTCCACAGGGCCCCTGGGATCATTGTTTGCCGCTGACATGTGGATGAGGAGCTGCACATTGTGACTATGGCTTGAGCAACGAGGCAACAATATATTCATTTAGATTGTGCCTCACTCACAGCACAGCACAGTGAGGGCTGTCAGGATACCCTGAGCTACCTCTCCACCCCCACCACAAACACACACACACATATACACTCACCCACGTATATGTACACACACAGACACACCCACATACATATACATACACTCATGTATACACTCATTCACACACGCAAACATATATATACACACACACAGACACACCCACATACAAATACCCCCCCTCCCAGCACATAAGTACACAAAAACACAGACTTACAAACACCACCCATGCCCCTCCACCCATAGGGAAAGGTGTGAGGCCGGATCAATAGGCAGGTTTAACAGGGAACTGGAGTTGAGTCAAACCAGTGTAGAATGTGGGCTGGAGATTGGGGATTAAACAACAGGTGAGTCAGTCAGATAGACAGACTCTGGTGTGATCCCTGTGGGTGATTCCAGATCCCTCAACCCTTAATCCCTGGGGTTTCTCTCCTGGGAATTCATCATCAAATAGTCACACAGAGTTAAACATTCCTTGCTGTCTCTAACCCTGACCTGGGAGTGTGGACGCACAGTGTAGAGGAGCGTTACTGTGTCTCTAACCTTGACCTGGGAGTGAGGACGCACAGTGTAGAGGGAGCGTTACTGTGTCTCTAACCCTGACCTGGGAGTGCGGACGCACAGTGTAGAGGGAGCTTAAACTTAACTGCAGTTGATAAGTTTTTAAAATTCAACCCAGCAGTGATGGCGTGGCTGAGGTAAGGTTTAAAATCTTTCCGTCCCGCTGATCGATCTTCAATTTTCATTTTGAAATGAATGGTATTGAGGTGCTCTCGGGAGACAATGCCAGCGAGGCTATCTATCCCACACACTCTCTCTCTCTCTCTCCTCCTAACTGCATCCGAGATACCCATCCCTATCCTGTCAGCGAGAGAGTCTGCTGATCTCTCCGTTATCTACCGTAACATCCAGCCTATACCTCACACCGTCCCTCACACTCAGCTCAGCCAAGCCCAGAGAGATACCTGCCTGTTTCTCACTCCGCGATCTCCGACAGTGCCCCTGATACGCCGGAGCCCCCCCGACACACTGCCCTCCCCCCACCCCGACACGCTGGAGCCCCCCTCGCTGCTCCTCACCTGCTGTAACATGACGGCTTGTTGCTGCTGCAGTAACGCCTGGAGCTGGGGCGGAGACAGGATCTGCTGCATCTGCTGTGGGGTGATCACCTGGGGGGTCATCATAGCCACCGAGACCGGCACCTGTGGGGGGGGGTGCAACACACACAGCCACAGCGTCACCTGGGGAGAGGGTCCCATCAGCCCCACCTTCCCAGAACATCCAGCCCGCCCCACAACCCCACTCTTCTCCCAACCCGTTCCCTCAGCCCCTCACTTTCCCGACTCCGAGTCAAAAGGTTGTGGGTTTGAGCCCCCCGTAGTGGGTGGGGACTGATAACTTTCGTCCACGAAATACACAGTGTATCCTGTGAAGCGCTTTGAGGCGTCTCAACAATGTGATAAGGCTCTGGGTCAAAGGCCAGGACTATTATTATTGTTATTATTGTTATAACTGTGTCCGTGCTGGGAGGAGCCACGTGGGCAATTCCTGATTAGTCACCGCAATTAGTCTAATTTGATTTAATTAAACGCTAACTGAAGCTCCAGTGGGTTTTTATTAATCGACGCTTGTTTAAACAATGGGCTCCTTTGTTTTACATCACAGAGCGGGAGAGAGATACAGGCATCCAGTCAGTCAGTCACAGCCACTCGGTAAAACATCAGGGATATGTACCAGTCAAATCGAGAGTGGATAACTCCTCACCTTCCTCACTCTTCCCTCCCTCCGTCCCTCCGAAACTCTACACTCCTCACCTCCCTCGCTCACTCTTCCCTCCTTCCTACACTCCTCACCTCCCTCGCTCACTCTGTCACTCAACAGGAATCCTAAATCCAAGAAGGAGATGTGAACTTGACATTGGAGCCAGGAAGGTTAGACAGGAGATCAAGATGCACGGCTTGACTCAGAGAGGGCTGAGCGTGCAATCCGGGCCCCAGAGGTCGGAGAGAAATAATCCATCAGCTTCCAAACCAAAGTGAGCGCCAAACACTTGGGTCGCACGAGAACCCAGGGGGAGAGATACAGACACTTCATGGGCCCCAAGTTGGGTCAAGTAGCACTTGGCGCTGTTGGTCAGAGCACCACTAGAGGGCAGGCTAACACCAGCCTCCAGGGACATCCGCATCGAGACCGTAGGTGTGAGGATGGAGAGTCCAGGCCGATTTGACGTCAGATTTGCACCTGGTTCACGCAATAATCAGAAAAGGCTGGGAGCTGTCGGCATCAGGTGTCTGGAGGCCAGGAGAGCCTAGGTGTGTCCAGACAGACGGCATTTGTTTATTTAATAAAGATCCCTCTGCAGGACATTCCAGTTCAGCTTGAAATCAACTTCTCAATGGGCTGTAGCCCCTCAGGGAAAACACACGCACACACACACACACACACCGCTCCGCACCGCAGACAAAGAGGCCGAAAGGCATGGACTTCAACATGCCCGGTCACTCCCCGTGTCTGACTGACTGACTCCGAGACAGAGAAGAGTTGACGGAGCTGAGGAGTGTAGAGTGTAGGAGGGAGGGAAGAGTGAGGAAAGGAGGTGAGGAGTGTAGGAGAGAGGGAAGAGTGAGGGAGGTGAGGTGAGGAGTGTAGGAGGGAGGGAGGGAAGAGTGAGGGAGGTGAGGTGAGGAGTCCTGTAGAGTGTATAGGAGAAAGAGGAGGGAGGGAAGGAACGAGGGAGGGTTTGGAAAGAGGGAGCAACTCTTGTTAAACGTGAACTGCCCATAAACACAGTGAATAAGCAGGAAGTGGAACAAATTGGTACATTGGCAGTAACAGCCAGCGTCATGTTAATTTGCCTTCACCGCTCAGCTGCCTGGGACCTAAATGAAAGCCTGTAATTAATTGCTCTCCTGCCTCCCATTTCCCACTGACAGCCCATATATTTTATTTTATACACACATTCATTGACATTTTCAAGTTTGTGGCATAATAATTACCAGAGTATAACACCTCCATTTTGTGGTAGCAGTAGCCAGCTGATTGACGAGTAGAGAGAATAAGCTGCAGTTAAGGGCTGATGGCATTAATTGCTCCTATAATCTAATACTACAAAGGCAGAGCAGAGAGAGAGAGAGAGAGACGGAGGGAGGGAGCAAAGTAGGGACCGAAGGAGGGAGGAAATGTGTGGCAAAAAAGAATGATTCCTGGAACCTTGGACACTTGCTCACAGTGTAAGTGCGTCTTGCCCTCAGGTTATGGGGCAGACAGACAGACAGAAGACAGACAGACACACACACACAGTCAGCAGCTCAGTGAATATCTCTGTGTTTGCCGTGTTCCTGAGACACATTCTCAGCAAGAGCCGAGATCCAATTTCCACACGACTTTGTTCACTTGTACAATCGAATCCTGACACCTACGCGAACAAAGTAACACAAACGTTTGGGCCATATCCCACCCCCGGTGAATAATAATAATAATCCTAGCATTTGATATAGCTCCTTATCATTGAGAATATACTGCAAAGTAAGTGACTGTATATTTTATGGGCGAAAGATTCACAATCTCAAACACCCCCCCCCTCACCCCGGTTACTCAGACTCTGGTTTCCTTACCTGGACTGAGAGTTATTCACAAGTAATGTAGACACAACAGTGCGGTGTGCACGCATGTGCTTGTGTATGTACAGGTCCAGCACATGTGTACACGTGTCGACATGAGCTTGCATGTGGGTATATGCGTATGCACAAAATTGCCACCTGATGTCATTCGCACTGGATCAAGGTTACCTGCCCCAAATCCACGCACAGAATCTCTGCAGAAATCCCACTTTTCCCTGATATTCTCACACACACACACTCACGCACACTCACTCACTCGCACACACCCACGCTCACACACTCACTCATTCACACCCACACTCTCTCTCACACACACACACACTGGGGCAATAATAAAAATATATAATCTCTGCTCCTGTACTAGTGGCTTAGAGCCACCAGCCCCCCCCCCCGTCCCCCATTAAAGCTGCCAATTCAGTGGCTTTAATTCCTCTGTTAATGGACCCAAAACCTTCGCCAATGGATTTTTCAGTTTAGTGATTTAAAGGTTTTATAAAACTATATATTTTTGGGGGGAGATGGTTGGGGGGAGGGGAGGGCGCGAGGCAGCTCATCGCAGATTTATTGGGGGATGATGAGCTCACACAGAGAATAAACCTGCTCTCTCTCTCTCTCTCTCGTCTGTCTGTCTGTCTGTCTGTCTGTCTGTCTGTTCGTCGATGTTTATAACCATATTTTCGGTCACTTTCCCCCGTCATGTTTTCTCCCCACTCCCAGCCCTGCCATTGGCGCATCTCACAGTCGTCATCGCTCTCTCGCCTTGGTGTCGAGGGGTGTCGGGGGGTGTCGGGGGTGGGGACACACACACATATGATCTCAGATAAAATGGTCAGTCACTAAGCTGGTTTGACTTAGACGCCAATTAGACATCACAGCGATATCGTATAAATGTCCCAAAGCTGTGTGCTGCCTCCCCACACGCCAATAACACGCTCCCTCCCCACACGCCAATAACACGTTCCCTCCCCACACGCCAATAACACGCTCCCTCCCCACACGCCAATAACACGCGGCCTCACACAAAGGGGAATAAATAAATAATCCTGAACAAACATTGCTTCTCATTGTAAAATGCATAATTAAAATTTGAGGTAATTACCAAGCACTCATTAACAATCCTAATTAAACGACATGAGTGGCCTTTATTCAATTAAACACAAGCAACAAACAGCGTTTCCAAATCACTGTTAGATCATTGTCACATTTGCAACAAATTTAAATTCTCTTTAGTTAATCCCAGAGCCGGCAAACCACAGCATGTGTGTGTGTGAGGGAGCCAGAGAGAACCACTCGACCTTGTGTGTGTGTGTGCGTGTGTGTGTGTGCCTGTGTGTGTGTGCCTGTGTCTGCGCTCACTGTCTTGGCAGCGCTGGCTCTCAGGCACATTGTAATGAGTCGTCCTCCTGGCCCCTGAAGACCACGGAGCATCATTAAGATGCTTGTGGTGTGGCCAGAGCCACTGACAGTAGGTCTTTAATTGACAAGAGGTCAGCCTTGAACAGCGAGGGGAAGCGACGCTGGGGCGAGAGGGACAGTGAGTGGCCGGGGACACCGACCGGGAGGCTTCCTAATTACACTGATTGTTTGAAGAGAGTCCGAGAGTGATTAATAAAACAGAGACAAAGTTGGAGAGCTGTCTGTCCCCGAGCTGTGAGAAGGTTTATCCTCTCTCACAAGATGCCATGAGAGTGTGCGTAACATGAGCGTAGAGAGAGAGAGCACTCAACCCAGTTTGCATCACATTAACTTCACACAACAAGCACGAGTCACACACACACACACACAGACAAACACACACACACCGCTCCGATCTCAGCACTTGACTTTCCTCAGGCTGCAGATATCTGACCTGCTCTCTCTCGCTCCCCTCCGCCTGCCATCGCATCCCCACTCTCCCCCCAGCGCCAGATCCTCACACTGTGATCAGCCTCAATAATTATCGTCAGAATAATAATAATCTTTGCATTTGATACAGCGCCTTATCCCATCATTGAAACTCGAGTCTCAAAGCGCTTCACAGAATATACTGGGAAGTGGAATGACTGTGTATGTTGCGTTGGCGAAATGCGGCAGCGAATTCCGCACAACAGCAACTCACAAACAGTGGTGGGTTGAGCCTCAAACCAAAATGAGCAATTTTGTCTGGGGGAATTGACGGCCAGGACACCGAGAGAGAGAGAGATTCCCATCACTCTTCCCTTAACGTCCACCTGAACAGATGGGGACTTGGTTTAACATCTCTCCTGAAGGGAAGACCACACCCCCACCCCACCCGCACCCCCCCCAGCTGAGCACTGGAAAGTCAGCCTAGACTGTGAGCTCAGAGCGTCTGTTGTCAGGTGGGTCTTACACACACGGACACACATATAACATTGGGGCAATGGCTGGGGCCAGGCCGGTCACTACAGGAGTGAGGAGAGAGGAGAGGATACAGGAGAGAGCGAAAGAAGGAGGAGACAGGAGAGAGAGAGAGATAGAGGGGAAAGGGGGAGAGAGGGGAGACAGGAGAGGGGAGGGGGGAAGAGAGGGGAAGAGAGGGGAAGAGGGGAAAAGAGGGGAGACAGGAGAAAGAAAAAGAGAGAGAAGACAGGAGAGAGAGGATGAAGAGAGAGAAGATTATATGCAAAGTTAATCTTCTTGGGCACTAAGAACATTTCTTCATTAAAGAGCGGCTTATTCCAGGGCAGAATTACAGAGGGGAGAAAAGGGACTATTAGCTTTTACAAGGTCAAAATATTCCTTGTGAGATCGGCAATAAATGATGATATTTAAGCAAGGGGATGACTGATGTGGTGTCATTCACCACTTCTCTCTCTCCCAGCAGAACAGGGTAATTAGCACTTTCTCTGCCACACAATGAAATCAAACCCTAAAGAGGCCAGTGGTGATTCACGGCTCCCAATTCAGAGATTATAGGTTTCGCCCGATGCCATAATTGTGTGCCATAGGACATTATTGGCCAGATTAATAACTTTTAATCATTTACGACTGGGCCCTGTGTTTTTCTCTGCCGTCATTTCCACTAATCTTCTGATCCTAATCCATACCGATACCTCTCCCCACACCACTGCCCCCAGTGGAGCCACACTGACACCATACACTGCCCCCAGGCCCACACCGACACCGTAAAGCCCCCTCTTCACTACACTGTCCGGCCACATTCCCAGATCAGGGCTAAGCACAGTAAAGCTCCCTCTTCACTGGCAGACCATTTTGTCCGCATGGAATTGTGGTAAATTTGGAATTGGTTTGGGGAGTGGCTGAGGTGAAGAATTTTACACAATCTGGCATGTGGCAGGCTGACAGAGGGTGGGATTTGGGGCCAACGAGTCCTCCTGTGTACCTCCTCCCTCTCGCTCTCTCAGCAGCTCAGCGAACACTGCAGAGGGCAGTGTGTCTGTGACCCAATGCCACAGCCCGACTCTCACTAACTCTCAACTCCCAACTACAGCAGAGAAACAGATACAGATAGCCACAGACCAGAGAGGCGGGGAGGGAGGGAAGAGGCAGGAGAGGGGAGGAAGAGAGGGGTGGGAGGGAATAGAGGGGGGAAGTGGAGGGGAGAAAAGGAAAGAATTGGAGAAAGAATATCTGACTCCAAACCGAGCAGTGGGGGAAGTGGGGGGCGGACGCTCACTCAGCAAGGAACAGGTATTGAACAGAGTCGCTGAAGGGAAAGTGAAATGATGGGGGGAGGGGCGTGAGTAGTGTTTGGGTTTCCCACTCCTCCCCGTCTCCGCTAAGTTGCTGACACTTTCCTTTGTATTTGAACGGAGGGTCAGAGGTCACGGCTCCCACCCACCAGTCAACAAAAACACAACACAATGGGAACCAAACTCTCACTCTTTTGTCTCTTATCCCGAGCCACCGCAAAGGTTTGGTTTGGTTTAGTAGCCGGGCTCCGCGACACGTTTGATCAACACTTTCACCTTTCAGCCCTCACTGATTTTGTCCCCCAGCTCCCACTATCAACCCCCGCCGCCCCCCACCTCTCACCACTACAAACAACTTGCATTTATTTATTTATTTAGCGCCCCTTTTCGCAGAGTAGCATCCCAGCACCACAGCCTGGCTCATAGTCAGCACCTGGAAGGGCCGATCGGTCACTGGAGGCAGCGAATCCTCCCCCTCAGCTCCTGTTAACCCTGCAGCCAAAGCCCTAACTAAAGGCTAAGGTGGTTCCTAGCTGGACAAGCAGCAGGAAAGTTGGCCAGAGCATCTCCTTCACCCCTAAACAGTCTCGTACTTGGGAATTAAATCACAAACCACACTTGGACTCCAGTCATATTCAGCTTCCTCTCCCCACAGGCTCAAACCCTCCCCAAACCCACAGCCCTTGCTCCCTCTGCTCTGCTCCCTCTACTCTGTGCCTTCGGTCAACATCTTTGGTCAACTCTCACTTCCTCGCCAGTAACTGAAGTCTGTGAGCCTCTCATTCCTAGACTTCACTTAAGTGCAAAAACACTGAGTAAACACAAGGTGTTTTTTTGGTCAACCGGGTGTCTGACACACACAGAAACCCACCACCGTTCTTTTGAATCTCCAAACCAAACTGAGATTTCCTTGCGTCCCAACTACACATGGGAATCCCAGAGATAAGACTGTTGGAATGGAATGTGCTCTCTCTCTCTCTCTCTCCCTGCATTCCGGAGAGCATTAGGCTCAAGAGCCAAGACTGGGGGTGGGGGAGCCCAGAGTGCGCATTGGGGTAACTGCTGGAGTCTAACCAGCTAAAACCACAGAGCTTAGTCATTGGGAGCATTGACTAGCTTTCCCTTTGCTTGTTCAGTTAGGACTACCCGACCCGTTACTTAGGGCTTTAGCTGCAGGGTTAACAGGAGCTGAGGGGGAGGATTCCCTGCCCCAAGTAACTGGTCTGTCCTTCCAGGGTGGAAGGGGGCGCTGGTGATTACTCCATAGGCATTTGCCGAGGGTCTCCGCCCCTCCCATGACATCCTCTGTGTCCCTCCCTGGGCGCTGGGCAGAGGAAGAGCTGCTGATTATTCATGTTACTGAAGCCTCTGCCTCTGGCTTTGCCGCCTGTGTTTTTTTTCACAGACGGTGACAGCGTTTCCTTCCTGTAACAAACGGTAGAAAGTGTAACGTCCAAAGCTGTGCCTGATCCCAGCCCCTGGGGAAGGGGAACCCACAGACAGTCAGTGCTCCTTCTCACCCCCCACCACAAACACACACACACACACATAGGCAGTGAGAGAGAATGGGAAACTATGGTAACCTGACATCTCAGTGTACAGACTGGGTAATAATATCAGGAAATAATCCTTCCATTTGATATAGAGCCTTATCACATCGTTGAGACATCTCAAAGTCTCAAAGCACTTCGTGAGATGAACTCTTTAACCACTGAGCCAAAGGACTCTGGGTATACTGACAGCTGAGTGTACTGTCAGGGTACACGGAGGCTGGGTATTGGTGGGGTACACGGAGGCTGGGTATTGATGGGGTACACGGAGGCTGGGCACTGACCTACCTGCACGGTGGGCTGCTTGTCGACGGCGTTAGGGGAGCTGAGCCCCGTGGCTTGCTGAAGCAGGAACTGCCGAGCGGCTTGCAGGGCCTGTGGGAAGAGAGGGAAAGAGAAATGGTCACACTGGGACACGTGTGGCAGCAAAACACACCCCAACTCACAATCCCTCACAGACCCCCCCACCCCAGGCTCCATGCTGGTGATCAGCTCACTGCCGGCAACTCCACACTCTTCACTGCTCTGCCTGATCGCCACCAATCGCCTAACAACCGGGTTCCTACTTACAGCTGGTAAACAGAGGCGTGTGTGTGTGCGTGTCTGTGAAGTAAGGAAACTTGCCTAAGGTTTCACCCTGACCTGCCCGGGAATCGAACCCGGGTACGTTCGCTTGTGAGACGAGGGATCTAACCGCTGAGCTACAGGACTCCACACTAACCACACTACAGAAAAGCGTCCAAATTCAGGCTGAGGTCAGAATTCAGCCCACGTCCTGACTTCACCTCCTCAGCAACACACTGAGCCCACAAGCCAACAGGACTCAGTCTAGTGGGAACGGGAGAGGGAGAGAGAGGTGGGTGGTGGTGGAGGGAACGGGGAGGGGGTTGGGGAGAGAGTAAAGAGAAGGCTGCAAGAATGTAAGAGATTATAACTGAGTTGCTGGGAAACGCAGGCAGGATGGCTTCTGTCAGTTGAAACACTGAAAGGTTTGATCGTTGCACAAATTTCTTTTTAAAGAGAAATTGGTGCTTTTCTGGGGCGAACAGACGGAGAGAGACAGAAAGTGTCTCCTCGACAACTGAGACTTCACAGACACTTCAACTGTGACCAGCAGCTGGGGCTGAAAATCATCTGTCTGTGTCTGTCCTACTGTCTGTCTGTATGCATGTGTATGTCTGTTTGTATATCTATCTGTCTGTGTCTGCCTGTAGTGTGTCTGCCTGTCTGTCTGTCTAGAGCCCTGTCACCCGCTCATTTCCAATCAAATCCCAAGTTTCCAAAAGGAAAAATAAAATCTGAGAGGAAGAAGTTGAGGGGAGCGAGCTGCCAGGATAAACACTTCGGGCACCGAGAGATCTCACTGAAACTCCACCACGCTCTGCTCTCTGCTCTGTAAAAATCTGCTGCTACTCAGCTTCCCTCCAGGAACAAGAGCAGCATTGTTGGGTCGCGAGGCTCTGGCAGGTTTATGAGCTGGGAGTTGCCGGGGGGGGGAGAGGTGTGGGGGTCAGCGAAGTGAAGCTGGGCGTTGGCGAGTGGGGGATGGGGGAGAGGGGAGGTCAGCGAGGCAAATCTTCAGTTTGGCCTCAGTGCTAACTGTTGGCCTCACACGTGTCAACAGCCAAAGCACAGCTCATCCCTAACCAACTCCCTACTCGGTAACCAGCAACCAACTAACTACCCAATCAATCAACCAACCAACCAAACTAACCAACTAACTACCCAACCAACCAAACTAACCAACTAACTACCCAACCAACCAAACTAACCAACTAACTACCCAACCAACCAAACTAACCAACTAGCTACCCAACCAACCAACCAAACTAACCAACTAGCTACCCAACCAACCAACCAAACTAACCAACTAGCTACCCAACCAACCAACCAACTAACTACCCAACCAAACTAACCAACTAGCTACCCAACCAACCAAACTAACCAACTAACTACCCAACCAACCAAACTAACCAACTAACTACCTAACCAACCAACCAAACTAACCAACTAACTACCCAACCAACCAACCAAACTAACCAACTAGCTACCCAAGCAACCAACCAACCAACCAACTACCCAACCAACCAACCAAACTAACGGTCACACTTGCAGCTCCAGCTGTTTCTCACTCTCTAGTAGGATTCTGATTGGCTGAGATTATGCCCTTGAGTTTACTCAGAATCTCTCACGAGTTTCACTAACGTTTGTGTAAAGTGTAGTGACTGTATTCTGTAAGACCAATGTGGAAACTAATTTGCCCCCCACCCCCACCCCACGCCACCACCGCGGTGTCCCACCTACCAGCCATGGAGCGAGTGAGCGATGGGATCTGAGGGGCTGCTAGTCTGGTTAGTGTTGGCTATTGGAAGGAGAGGGAGGATTAAAGGTTAATCATGACCAGAGTTAACGTCAGGTCACTGGAGGTGCAGAAACCCAGTTTGGTGAGACTGCAGCGATGGTTAAAGACAAAACTATTTGGTTTACGCAAAGTATTGGCAGGAACAACTCCAACCTCACAGACACAGAGGATATCTTGGGCGGAAAGTTGTGTATGACAGCTCCCTCTGGTACCAGATAACTTTGTGTGTGATCATCATTTCGCCTCTCGACCCCATTACCTAAGCCAGGAACAATGCACGGATGAAGCATCCTCTGGGAGCCTTAGGGCAAGAACCAACACAGCCACTCCCTTCCCATTGCTCCCTGCCAGCGAGAGAGAGAGAGAGAGAGACAGAGAGCTCCAAGTGGATAGGAACAGCTCAGACAGCAAGTCAGCGAATCACTATGTAAACACGAGAGAAAGAAAGAGATGAGAGAGAAAAAGAGAGAGTGAGAATGAAAGAGAGAGAGAGATTCAGAGGGAGTGACAATGAGACAGAGAGAAAGTGAGGGAAAGAATTAGAGCGAGTGAGAATGAGAGAGAACAAGTCAGAGAAAGTGAGAGAGAGTGTGAAACAAGAGAGAGAGAATGAGAGAGAAAGAAAGTGAGAATGAGTGAGAAAGATTAGTTAGTGAGACACATTACAGTAATCAGTAAACCTGTCTCTAACTATTGACAACAGCTCCCCCAGGAACCTGCGATAGCCATCTGTGCGGCTCCCAATGTCTGTGTCTAATGGGCCCTTCCTCTCTCTCCCCCCGCAGCCCAGTGCCTCTCTCCCCAGCCACATACATCATGTTTATGGGGAACCTCGCACTTCACGAGGAGAAATGGAGATGCCGTGTCGAGGGCTTTAAAATATAGTTTTGAACTCTTTCTCACATCTCGCTTCGAAAGACCAGCTGGTGTAAATGTGGCCTGTGAAAGCGCAGTGTGTTAGACTGACATTATTACCTCATGAAAGATGGATTTAGAGACTTTATCACCCTCACACCTGGGCTCCTGTCGCCCTTCCCTGTCTCACAGTCACTTCTGAAAGCTTCAGTAGACCTCTGTCCCCAGCCAGGCAGACTCTCACTGAAAGCCTCCAGAGCCTGGCGGGCCCCAGCGTTAGTGCGGAGACTGAGCATCAGGATAACAGCATAGGAGGATGCACAGTGTAGAGGGAGCTTTACTGTGTCTCTAACCCTGACCTGGGAGTGTGGACACACAGTGTAGAGGGAGCGTTACTGTGTCTCTAACCCTGACCTGGGAGTGTGGACACACAGTGTAGAGGAGCTTTACTGTGTCTCTAACTAACCCTGACCTGGGAGTGTGGACACACAGTGTAGAGGAGCTTTACTGTTTCTCTAACTCTGACCTGGGAGTGTGGACGCACAGTGTAGAGGGAGCTTTACTGTGTCTCTAACTAACCCTGACCTGGGAGTTGTGGACGGACAGTTTGTTGTGCTTCAGAACACATTCCTTATGTTATAACTAGCACAAAAAATGAGTTATGAGTCGTCATGAAAACACTGTCCCCAGAACCTGCTTGTCTTGTTTACTCTGGCTCCCGCGGCCTCGAATGATGAAATGAAAGTGTTACGACACGTGGACGGAGAGCAGGGCTAATTTTAGGAGAGAAAGTGGAGTAACTTCCTGTCGAAGGGGCAACAGTGCGGAAACATCCTAACTGTGGGCAGTGCCGACGGCCATTGTCAGCACTTCCTGTTTGGTTTGTTGGAGAAAAAGCAACTCCCTCTTACTGGGTATCTTTCCTGTGATTATACAGTTCTGCTCTCACCTTTTATACTGGCCCCAATTACACACCATGTGTAAACCATATGCAAAGGCTACAAGTGCTACCCTGGTGAAGCGCACTATATAAATGAAAATTGTTGCTGTTGTTATTGCAAAGAGAGAATGAAAGAAAATGACTATTAACTAAAGGGAGCTTTACTGTGTCTCTAACCCTGACCTGGGAATTGGACGCACAGTATAGAGGGAGCTTTACTGTGTCTCTAACCCTGACCTGGAAGTGTGGACACATAAGTGTAGAGGGTGTGTTACTCTGTGCCCCCCTGCAGTGGCCTTGTTCTGTACAGTATTGTTGTGCCAGTTGAGCAGTGCTCAGTCTATCTCTCGCTATCTGGGATTTCCAGCCACCGTTTCCTGAGGATGTGCTGGGCCTTGCTCACAGCAGCTCTCTCCAACCACGACACCAACTACAGCCATCGCCTATCCCTACACAGCTAACACTGGCCACACTCTGATACACTTTCCTCTGGAGAGTGTTGGGGATGAGGCATGCTTCCCCCCCCCCAATTCTCCACTCTATTGTATGCCCACCCACTCAAATCATAACCACAGGCGCTCTAGAGACTGAGTACAGTCTGACCTGGGACTGTGGACCCACAGTGTAGAGCTTTACTCTCTCTCCACCCCAGCTGTGGCTGCCCGAGGAGTGTGAGAAAGACAGTGTAGAGATTTTCAGTACTCTTGATGAATAAAAAGTGACATTGAAGCCCGACAGCCCATTGCTGTCAAATCTAAATCACGGGATTGCTGTCCATCACACTCGAGGACAGTGATGGATGGGAGGCAAAAAAGATTTCAGCTCATCTACATGTCTCCCCATTTGCTCACATCACAGTCCTCCTCAACACTGTATCTGCTGTTTCTCTGTCTCCTTTCACACACAATGTGTATCACAGTCTCAGGCAGAGCGGTGACCAGCATAGATACGCTCCAATCAACAGTGTCTCAAACAGCGCCCCTAGAGGTCACTGTATTATACACAGGATAACACACAGGCTACCCCCACCCACACCTCTCCCCCCCCCCCTCTCCCCTCAGAGCTTCCGAAGAGGGGGCGGTTGACTGGCAGCGGGAATAATCGCTGTTATTTCCCGTTAGTTTTGGACGTTCACAAACTTGGAAAAACAAAATGATGTTAAAAAAATGAACATGTTCCCAGCCCCAGGGCCCGAGGAGTCAGGCCAACTCCTGTCGGGAAAAATCCACTGCAATCCCAGCGGATGGAGTTGCTCCGTTCGGGAATGCCAAGGAAAACCAGAAGACAGGCTTTTATCTTGCGCATTGGTTTGTGTTGGGGGGGTGAATGGGGCGGGTCACAAGAACAGCCCCAGGGAGGGTGGGTGAGGGGGGGTCACCAGGGTTTCGGAGATGCCATCCTTCAGATAAAACGTTAACGTGAGCTCCAACCTGTGCCCTGGGAAGTGCATTGAGACCTTGTGACTCTGCACACACTGGATCAGTGTCTGTCTGTGCTGTTACTCTGGTTGTGGTGGGTAGGGGGGTCATTAACTCAGGAGGAAAAGGCCTCAAGGGGCTTCGGGAATATTTACCTAAATAAATGATTAGATAAATAGATAAAAAGGCACTTAACTTCAAGGGCCACTTGGCCACTTGACATAAGAACAGTAGCTTCAGGGGTGGAGAGAGAGATTGCAGTGTCACCTCTCTCTCACACAGAACGCATTCTCTCTCTCAACACGTTTTCTCTCTCTCTCTCTGTGTGAACACACACACTCTCACTTTCTCTGTGATCTCAAGACGTGCCCTACAAGTCTCCCCCCCCCACCCCGTGTCTGTCTCTGTGTCTCTCTCCCGCTGATGCTCCCCCCTGGTCTTCCCTGCGCTACCACAACAACAACACACATACACACCGACTTTTTCACGTGGGAAATTAATATGGAAAATAACAACTGTCCATTAACCTTCTCTACCTTACAGTGTGAAGACAAAAAGACGAGAGAGGGAGGGAGAGAGGAATAGAGAGAGAGAGTGAACCGCTCCTGTCTGGCTGTGGCTGGTTCGGGCTGCTGGGCCGATCTGGGAGTTTGACTCAAAGGCTCGATTCTGGCCTGAGTTCAACCCAAACAGGAGGAAGTGTAGTAGATCAGCGGTTTGTTGTGTAAGAGGGGGTTCCAATGGCCTTGAGGCCTCAGCTCCCGCCTGGTCTCTCTCTCTGCCTGGACAGACTCCAATCCCATCCCAGGCTGGAGGCCAGGCCAGACCAGGTGAGCGACACTGACACACACTCACACCCATTGCCCTTTGATGAAGATGTCCTGAATATATCTAGTTACAGCTACAGTATATAGTTTGGGACATGATATATCAAGCGACTGCCAGGATGGTGGAGGATGACCTGGATGGACCTTGGTCTTCTTCCGCCTTCTAGTAAATTCTTAGGAAGATCCGTCAGGAATACTGTCCCTAAGCCGATCTCAGCTGATCTGGCACCGCCGGAGTGTGGAGCGACCAACCCTGTGGAACTTCATCCTGGAGCCACTCCGCCCTCACTCACTCCCTCTCTTCCCTCAAGGCCCATCTCAAGAACCTCCTCTTTGACTGAGACGGGTGAGACAAGCTGAGGGTGAGAGAGTGACTGAGCCAGGGTGAGGGTGAGAGAGTGACTGACCTGGACCTGTTGCTGTTGGAGATGCAGTAAGTCCACGGGGCTGACCTCCCCATTAATTTCCCCGTTGGCCCCCCCATCACGACCTCCGGCCGCCGGCTGGCTGCTTAAACTGCTAACTCCATTCTGATTGGCGGCCGAGCTGCGTATTGCTTCTGATGCGGATTCCACCATCATGGCTTGAACACCTAGAGTGAGAGAGAGAGAGGGGGGGGGAGAGAGAGGTGTGGGGGGGGGGGGGGGGAGAGAGAGGTGGGGGGGGAGAGAGAGGTGGGGGGAGGGGGGGGGGGGGAGAGAGGTGGGGGGAGAGAGGTGGGGGGGAGAGAGAGGTGGGGGGGGGGGGAGAGAGAGAGAGGTTAGAAACTGATGAATCAGACCCTCGTCTCTGTACCCCCTGCTCTGTGCCCTTGTCGTGCCGAAATTTGTTTACAATCACAACGTGGTATAAACGTCCTCTGAGTCTTCACGTGTGATGCATCAGTGAGTCTCTGCCCAAAGCCCAATGAACCCTCTCTCTCCACGTCCCAACATTTACACGTGCATCAGACCCTCAGTGCATCTGTTCTGGTGTTCGGAACCTTCACCGAAGGAGATGTAGAGAGACAGAGAGAGAGACAGAGAGAGAGAAACAGAAGGAGGAGAGAGAGTGAGGAGAGAGTGTGAAGAGAGGGAGAGAGTGAGGAAAGAATGAGCCAAGAGGGAGAGTGAGGAGAGAGAGTATTGAGAAGGAAAGAAAACTCACAGAGAGACAGACAGAGAGAGAGAGAGAGAGGGAGAGAGAGAAAAGAGAGAGATAAAGAATGAGAGGGGAAATGAGAGCGATCTATTACACAATGTCAGACTTTAGCAAAAAAAACTTAGGCCCTTTTATATAAAATAAAAAAACGTCTTTGTGATCCAATAATTCATTAATATATTCAGTTGCGGATTCTTTAAGAGTCGTCTTGGGTCTGTTCCAAGTGCACTAAAGGCTTTTTTTTTGCATATTTTCAGATCCATTACCTTTTGCTGTGTTTCATTATACTATCACGCACCACATCACTTTCCATGTTGAAGTCTGACAGAAAACAAAAGGCAGCAATTGCACCCACAGGGTCTCTCGCACACATAATGAATGATAATGCCAGTCATTAGGGGATTCCAACCCTAATAGCAATTTGATAGGAATAGGGAGAGGGCTTTGCTCATTGCCACCAACCATCCTTACACACACGCACACACACACTGAATGGGAGAAACTGTCTGAATAGAGAGGTACAGCGTTTTTCTATTAATAATAATATAATAATCCCTGCATTTTGATAAAGCGCTTTTGAAATAATGTCTCAAAGCACTTTGCAGAATACACTGTAAAGTGTAGTGACTGTATATTTTGTGGGCGAAACGTGGCAGCCAATTGCACACAGCAGCGTCCCACAAACAGCCGTGGATTGAGCGACCAGATTATTATTATTAAAAAATATATTTTTTTGAAGGGATTATTACCCCTGGAAAAGCGATCTGCCAAACGGCTAACAACTGGGTTCCTACTGCTACTGGTAAACAGTGGCGAATGGAGCAAGGAAACTTGTCCATCGTTTCCCCCTGCCCGGGAATTGTACCCGGGTCCTCTCGCGAGGGAGAGAGAGGGTCTGCGGGGGGGAGGGGGAACGGGGCTGTGAGGGAGGGGCTGCAGAGGAGAGGAAGGGGCCCTGAGGGAGAGGAAGGGTCCACAGACTCCCCTCTGTTTACACACAGAGCTCGGCCACGACTCTCAGCGAAGCTACATTGCCAGGAAACGTGGCTGAATCAGGGAGTCCCATCAACAGATAAAAAGCAGCCAATTTGTTTGAACCTGTGTCCCTGAGCCACTGAATCATTCCAACCACGATCCAATCTCAACAAACACACCGCAAACACTGAGCACAAACACAGCTCAGGCCAAAGCCATTACAGGCTTCTCAAAGGTCCCGTTGTGTTGGCTGTGAGCTTGACAGCGGGTTTCAGAGAGATCGCTTCACAAACCCAGAGCTTTCACACACGGGGATAACGAGTGAGTGAATCCTTCATGCTCCGAGCAAACAGGGGTGGGGGGAGGAAGGGGGGGTATAAAGAAGCCTATCTCAATGGGGAGGGTTTGATTGACTGGAACTCTGGCCGTCACGATAGGTTGAAATTCCCTCTAATAATAATAATATAATAATTCTTGCATTTGACAGCATGTTGTCGAGACATCTCAAGGTGCTTCACACGATTTTACTGCAAAGTGTAGTAACTGTGTATTTTGTAGGTGAAACTGAGAGAAGAGAGAGAGAGACTCCCTTCTTTTTTCGAAAACTTTAGTGTCACGGGATCTTTAATATCCTCGTGAACAGGCACAGACAGGACCCAGGTTTAACGTTAGCCGGACCCCCAGCACTGACCCCCAGCACTGACCCCCAGCACTGCGCTGGAGTGTTTATGAGGTTCAAAGTGGTGACGTAGGGCTCAAACCCATACTATTCTGATGTCCTGGTTAATCGGCACTTTACACAATATAATAATAATAATCCTTGCGTTTAACACAGCGCCTCATCATGTCTTCAAGACGTCTCAAAGCGCTTCACAGGATACACTGTAAAATGTAGTGACTGTGTATTTTGTGGGAGAAATGGGAGTGAATGGGAAAGGAGGTCGATCGATCAATGAGATGCCCCCCTGTGGAATGGGAATACTATACTGTCCGCTCAAGCTTTAGTGGGAATCTCCTAATTGTTTATTATCAATGTGATCATCGGACAAAGCCCCTCCCCCCCAGCAAACCCCTTTTACCCCACGTGAACCAGCCAAAAGATAGAGCCGTGGGGGAGAAAAAGAGTGACAGACACAGAAGGGTTAATCTCCAAGAATGAGCGGCAGGATTAACTAGGTCACCGGTTACGTTGGGAATAGTGGCACAAAAACGCTTAATGGGAAAAAAAATCATTAAAAAAAATAATTCTCAATGTCCCTGCTTTATATAAAACCGGTCTCCCCGGGTTCCCTCCCCCTCTCTCTCCGCTGCCCCCCACCACCCACTCTCTCTCCACGGTCCCCCACTCGCGCTCCGCACCCCCCCCTCCCCCTCTGTGTCCCCCCCGCCCACAAGGTCTCGTGAGGCGGCTTCTATTTTTATACTGAAATATAAGCGCACGGAAAGAGAGAAAAAAGGTGATGGAATTGGACCCGATAATCAGAGGCGAACGGGAAGATGATAATTTGTATTAACCGGGGACCAGGCGTCAAAGTCATTTACATCTTTTAGATTATCTGCATTTCACAAGTAATTTCTGCAGGTCCAGTGAACGGCTCGGGATTCCCACGTGGCCTTCACATAACTGCAGAACCAGCCCACCCCCCAACACAGCCAGCCAGCGAGAGAGGGGGGGAAAGTCAGCCAACAAATGCAATCCAGCGTCCAACCCCCCAACCCCCAAGCCCCAACCAGCGAGACGCCAGGCAGAGAAAGCAAACCTGAATTATTTTTGTACACCCACGTATTTACCACTGAACAGAAACATCTCCACTCCTGAGGCGCTCGAGTTTAAACATCTCATCCTAAAGACAATCCCTCTGACAACACAGCATCCGTGCCCCCTAACCCTAACCCACCCCCACCACACACACACACCACAATGCTGAGCTGGAGTATCAGCCCAGACTGAGCTCAAACTTACAAAACGGCATTAATAATCATAATAATCATAATAATAATCCTTGTATTTGACCCGGCGCCTTATCATGTCTTCGAGATGTCTCAAAGCGCTACACGGGATATACTGTAAAGTGAATTGACTGTGTATTTTGTGGCGCACAGCAGAAAACTAATAAAGGGATGGAGTTGAGTGTGAATGAGTGTGTGAGTGTGTGAGGAGAGGGGGAATCATTTGGAGTCAGTGGTGTGTATGTGTTGATTGTGGGATTTGCGATTTTTGAGCCATAAAGATAAATTACCCCCAAATACATGTCCCACCACAGTGATGGGATTTTTCTGTCTGTCTCTCTCTCAAACACAGTCACTCCACACGCTGCCCGTGTTCTCACAGTCAAGGAATCTCTGTCCTACAGATAAAGGCCTCACAAACTCGCCTCCTCACCCCGTGCTCACACTCACCCCCTCCCGGGCTCACACTCGCACCCCTCCTGTGCTCACACTCACCCCCCGTGCTCACATTCGCCCCCCTGCTCACACTCGACCCCCCCCGTGTTCACTCTCAACCCCGTGCTCACACTCGCCTCCTGAGCTCACACTCACCCCCCCATGCTCACACTCACCCCCCGTGCTCACTCTTGCTCACACTGTGTGAACAGACATCTTCAAATACAAAGGACAACTATTATTATTGGGACCAAATAAACAGCCCCAAAGAATAGCCACGAGACCGAGCCCTCAGCCCTAATCGCTCACGTGCTCACTCACTCGCTCAGGCTTTGACTACCCCACACACTGGAACCCAAATCGCTGGTTAATTTTGACTGATTAGAGTCATTACTCGGGGGAACAGGAGGGACCTGGTTTGTGCCTCTGTCACCTCGCATTGCTCCTCCATCAATACAGCTCAATACCACAGCTCACAGCCAAGTAAATAAATAAACCCTTAAACAGCAACAGAGAGAGGTTGTCAAGGCTCACTCCACCACCGGCTGTGATTAATGCCTGCAATCAGCGCAGTGATATGGGGGAGAGAGAGAGCGAAAGGGAGAGAGCGCTAGCAAGAGAGAGTGAGCGAGAGAGTGAGAGTGAGAGCACGAGAGTGACAGCGCGAGAGAAAGAGAGCGAGAGAGCAAGAGAGAGAGAGAGTGTCAAGGAGAAACGACTGAGGCTATTGCAGTGATTCCAGAGAATCGGAATGCTGGACAGGGACCCCCTCCCTCTCCCTCTCTCACTCCCTCCCTCATTAATTTGTTGGGAATAACGGGGAGTTTGGACCATATTTAGGCTGGAATCAGCTGAAGGAAAAAAAAGTAATATTAATTTCCGATTTAATCAGAATTAAACAGCTTCCCGTCCACGACAATCCATTTCCATCCAAATGAGAGCGAGCGAGCAAGCGAGTCACAATTAAAAAATATTATGGAAATGGGGCCAGAGATGGTGGTTTGACAGGAACCAACTTCATTTAGATACAAAAAAGCAATTTAACACAATTTTCTGATTACCATAAGTTTCCTAATCACTT